CCTGGACACTCGGGAGTTCATTGCTACTTTGTTTTTTATTCCAAGGGTTCATTTAGAAACAGCCTTGAGTGGTTCTGCTGTTTTGCTTGAAACAACTGAAGGACGAGTATTCCAGACCATGATTAATCAAGTCGAAAAAACCGCTGCATTCTTTTGCTTTAATTTTGAAAGAACGCGGCAGCAGTCTAGATGCAGGGGAGGTTTTTTTTAAAAAAGGCCAAGTTTTTTGAAAAAACCCTGTAGTCTAGACACACCTAGGAGCCATAGCTATGAACGAAGACCGCATTGTGCTAGGAACTGTACAACCACAGTGGAATAGTCCAATGGTTTTCCAACTACGGGTCGTGACCCAGGACTGGGTTGTGGAATATCCGGCACTGGGTCTCGTTGCTGCGGGGGGATCAGGTGACCAGTGGGGATGCTGAGGCAGCTACCTGCTTGTCCTGGCACTGCAGACTGTGCTGCGCCAAAAGCGGCCAGCAGCAGGCATGGCTCCTAGGAGGGGGAGCGTGCACAGAGCTCCCCGCGCTGTCCCTGCCCTGAGCACTAACTCTGCACTCCCATTGGCTGGGACCCTGCTGCTGGCTGCTTCTGGGGTGCAGCATGGTCTATGGTGCCAGGAGAGGCAGGATGCTGCCTTAGCACCCCCACTGCACCACTGACCAGGAGCCGCTTAAGGTAAGACCCTCTTACCCCAGCTTTGACCCTCCCCCCAACCCAGAGCCCCCTCTTATATTCCAAAGCTCTCATCCTCAGTCCCACGCTCCCATCGAATTATGTTGGGTTGCGGGCACCAACAATTTTCTTCAACTGAGTCGCGGGGAAAAAAAGCTTGAAAACCACTGGAACAGTCATTGGCCAAGAAAGAGACACTCTGTAGTCTAGTGGGAGTAGAAGACCTTTAGGCCAGTCCCCTTGCACCGATCACTCTGGGTATGTCTACACTACCCCCCTAGTTCGAACTAGGGGGGGGGGGGAGGTTGTTCTTCATCATTTGCATGAAGCCGGTCGGCGCCATTTTTAAATGCCGGCTAGTTCGGACTCCGTGCCGCGCGGCTACACGCAGCACGGACTAGCTAGTTTGGATTAGGCTTCCTTTGGAAAACGTTGCCCTAATAGGAAAAGGAGAGATGTGTGTTTCATGTGATCTCTGGAGCACATACTGCAGTAATCTCTGCTCTGACAGTGATGGTAGTCTCAGCGTCCTCTCTAGTTCCTTCTCCCACTCTAGGGATGTAAGCGACTAGTCAACTATCCAATAAGAAAAAGCTTATCGGATAGGTGACTAGTCCCTTGACTGGTCGCTTCCCCCTCCCTTAGGGTATGTCTACACTACAAAGTTAATTCGAACTAACGGACGTTAGTTCGAATTAGCGCTGTAGTGTAGACGTACCCTTAGAGAGGGCAGCAAGGGTGGGGGAGCAGGAGCCAGTGTTGGAGGGAGCCAGTTGTTCCTGGCTGGTGTCCAGTCCCAGCTTCTGTGCCTCTGCTTTTTAAATGTATTAAGAGCCTGCTGGCTCTTAATACATTTAAAAAGCAGAGGCACAGAAGCTGGGACTGGACACCAGCCAGGAACAACTGGCTCCCTCCAACACTGGCTCCTGCTCCCCTCCCCTTGCTTCCCTCTCTAAGGGTACGTCTACACTACAGCGCTAATTCGAACTAACGGACGTTAGTTCGAATTAGCGCTGTAGTGTAGACGTACCCTTAGAGAGGGCAGCAAGGGTGGGGGAGCAGGAGCCAGTGTTGGAGGGAGCCAGTTGTTCCTGGCTGGTGTCCAGTCCCAGCTTCTGTGCCTCTGCTTTTTAAATGTATTAAGAGCCTGCTGGCTCTTAATACATTTAAAAAGCAGAGGCACAGAAGCTGGGACTGGACACCAGCCAGGAACAACTGGCTCCCTCCAACACTGGCTCCTGCTCCCCTCCCCTTGCTTCCCTCTCTAAGGGTACGTCTACACTACAGCGCTAATTCGAACTAACGGACGTTAGTTCGAATTAGCGCTGTAGTGTAGACGTACCCTTAGAGAGGGCAGCAAGGGTGGGGGAGCAGGAGCCAGTGTTGGAGGGAGCCAGTTGTTCCTGGCTGGTGTCCAGTCCCAGCTTCTGTGCCTCTGCTTTTTAAATGTATTAAGAGCCTGCTGGCTCTTAATACATTTAAAAAGCAGAGGCACAGAAGCTGGGACTGGACACCAGCCAGGAACAACTGGCTCCCTCCAACACTGGCTCCTGCTCCCCTCCCCTTGCTTCCCTCTCTAAGGGTACGTCTACACTACAGCGCTAATTCGAACTAACGGACGTTAGTTCGAATTAGCGCTGTAGTGTAGACGTACCCTTAGAGAGGGCAGCAAGGGTGGGGGAGCAGGAGCCAGTGTTGGAGGGAGCCAGTTGTTCCTGGCTGGTGTCCAGTCCCAGCTTCTGTGCCTCTGCTTTTTAAATGTATTAAGAGCCTGCTGGCTCTTAATACATTTAAAAAGCAGAGGCACAGAAGCTGGGACTGGACACCAGCCAGGAACAACTGGCTCCCTCCAACACTGGCTCCTGCTCCCCTCCCCTTGCTTCCCTCTCTAAGGGTACGTCTACACTACAGCGCTAATTCGAACTAACGGACGTTAGTTCGAATTAGCGCTGTAGTGTAGACGTACCCTTAGAGAGGGCAGCAAGGGTGGGGGAGCAGGAGCCAGTGTTGGAGGGAGCCAGTTGTTCCTGGCTGGTGTCCAGTCCCAGCTTCTGTGCCTCTGCTTTTTAAATGTATTAAGAGCCTGCTGGCTCTTAATACATTTAAAAAGCAGAGGCACAGAAGCTGGGACTGGACACCAGCCAGGAACAACTGGCTCCCTCCAACACTGGCTCCTGCTCCCCTCCCCTTGCTTCCCTCTCTAAGGGTACGTCTACACTACAGCGCTAATTCGAACTAACGGACGTTAGTTCGAATTAGGCGCTACACTAGCGCTCCGCTAGTTCGAACTTAATTCAAACTAGCGGAGCGCTAGTGTAGCGCCTAATTCGAACTAACGGACGTTAGTTCGAATTAGCGCTGTAGTGTAGACGTACCCTTAGAGAGGGAAGCAAGGGTAGGGGAGCAGGAGCCAGTGTTGGAGGGAGCCAGTTGTTCCTGGCTGGTGTCCAGTCCCAGCTTCTGTGCCTCTGCTTTTTAAATGTATTAAGAGCCTGCTGGCTCTTAATACATTTAAAAATCAGAAGTGCAGCAGGGAGGACCCGGCGTGAGCTAGGACAGCTGATTCCTGGCTCACGCTGTGTCCCCCCCCCCAACCACCTCCTCCACACACTGTGCTGACAGGCTTTTAATAAATTTGAAAGGCAGAGCCACAGCAGGGTTAGTTCCTGGGCCAGGCGCTCACCCCGCTGCGGCTCCCCCGCTTATCGATGGAAAATCCATTGACGAGTCAATTAATTGAAAACTAAATTTAACATCCCTATTCCACTCCTTGCCCTTTTTCTAAGCTGTTGCCCTGTATTCAATGCCCTGCCAAAGACTCTTCACCAAGCTGTTACAGGAGCAGGGCCTTCGAATGCACAGTCTTTAGACTGGGTCGCCTTGTCTCTTCAGAGCACTGCAGCTTCTAGGGCCTGGGCCGAAATAATAATGGGCTGTGTAAACTGGAATGGAGTTAAGCCCCTTTACAGCAACAGAGGATCCGATCCAATCCCTTTTAGTATTACCTCCCCCAGAAACAACAAACTATCTGAAAGTACTCTCCCTCAGGCACAGACCAAAGAACACCCCTGGTGTAATTTATTATGACTTTATTAACAACGCGGCTTACAATTCTTCAAGTAAAAAGGGGATTTCTTTCATTTTGAATAAAAATTAAAATATAACTCTGAATATAGATTTTCATTTATTTACATGAAAACATATATACAGAATACAATCTTACAGCAAACTAACCACATGCCCTTCGCCCTGTTGAATTTGGAAAAGTAAAAACACCAGCAGGTTTGGGGGTTATTTTGTCACACACCAACAGGGCTATATACATACAATCAGAATCAAATCTGCGATACAAACTGGAATGCAAAACAGCCAAAGGACTTCTCACGGACACCACTAACAAATGGGTTATGCTGCTGGTCGCCATTCTCTTCCCCACTGCTATTTGGTGGGATGATCGGGTGTAATTGCTAATCTTGTTTTCATTCTGAATTTACTGACCTAGACAATACAGACATTTCTTGCTATTGTTGAACGGTTTTACCAGTGACACAATCCAATGTCTGGAAGGGTTACTAACCCTGCCCATTGTATAAATGGTAGGTAGCAGTTCTTAAATATCCACACAAGCATTTTGCCTGCAATCAGGTCTGTACAAGAACAGAACTGGTTTACATCCATTAATATTCACCAAAGGTCCAATCCAGCAAAACACGGAAGCGTCTGCTTATCACTAAGCAGAGGAGCCGTCGCTTTGGTTTCCCGGCAACTGCTCACATGTGTAAAGTTTATGTTATGTTTTAGGCGGGCCTGATCCAATGCCTAGTTACCTCACCAAGTCTGTCTCTTCAATGGAAATTAGACCAGGACCTAAAGAAGGATACACAAAGGTATCGAGGCACCTAGCTCGCTTTGAAATCACCTAACATTATTGAGGCAGGGGCCCAAACTCAGAAGTTCTCGCCTGGTACCAGATCTCCCCACCCCCAAAATACTGTGATCTTCCTCTCCTGGGACACATCTCCTCACATTAGGGCTGTAAATACCATTTAAGAAAAGTCAATTGTTTAAACAACAATATTTCATTTAAATGGCTACCGATTAAGCAGTCTGTCTGGTGTGTTAGGGCCAGAGCTGCTCCAGGCAGTGGGGCTAGAGCTACTCTAACCAAGCAGTGTGGTTGGGCTCACTTTGGCCAGTGTGGGGCTGGCTGGCCAGCCAGGGTGTTAATAGTTAAGGCAGGTTAACTGGAAAGATTAATTCTTACTGGTTAACCAGTTAACACGGTAGATCCCTACCTCAGATGGAATGAGTTTGCCAGAGGGAACCACAGGAAATGGAACCCCACATCCTGCTTCCCTCTGCCCCACAAGTGCCCTCTGCAGCCCTGGCAAAAATTAACTTCCTGCCTTTCTGAAAACTATAGACATTGCATGTATTTCTATTGACTGCCATGTTTGTCTCTATTGGCACATGAGTTTTTAGCTGCCAGGAATACATTTGCATCAGAAAAAGAAAGTTCAAAATGGCCTGACATTTCTGAACGGTCGTGGGAACTGGCTCGATCCACAGAGACACCGAGGCCCTGCTGCTCCCACTGAAGTCAATGAAAAGGCTCCGGAAACTGCTTTTGAAGTGGGCAAATCTAGATGTTGGGGCCTGGCCGTGGCCAGCAGGATTTGAAAGATGTGCTGAAGGAATTCAATGACTTTCAACCAAAAAGGGGTTCAGATTATATTCAAGTGGAGACAGGCCAGATTTACAGGGATTTAGGCACCTCACTGGTCCATTTTCAATGGGAGTCAGGCACCTAACCTCCTGGGGAGCTTTGTAAACAATATGAGGCACCTTTAGGAACCTAGGTGCTGTGTACACAGATAGCCAGGCAGTAGTGTAGACAGCAATGTATCACTCCTCTTAGTAAGGGCCCAGTCTGCAAGGCGCATCACTGGAAGTTTCCATTGGGCGTTGAAGTGCTCTCAGAGTCCCCAGGACTGGACTCCGGGGCGTCTAGTGTCGACCTGGCCAGAGATAAAATACGCCCTTCAAACCTCAGTCCCCAGTCTAAGAGCCCAATTTAGAACTGGGGCAACAAGATGCAGCTTCATCAAGAGAATCTGCACTTGATTACACCCATTCTGAATTTGATCCAACACATGTTAGGTGAAAACGCTTTGTTTGATTAATATTTCACTCCCCAAATGATGTGCCCTTTATCCTAAAGCAATATTCATTCCAACTACCACCCTGGCAACACACTATTCTAAAACCTTGCTCATTTTTTGGGAACTTGAATTCCATGCAGGGAAGAGTCGTGCACCACTTCTGATATCTGCTCAGATCTTGATGTGACCATCTGAGCGCCATGTACAATTAAACCATGTTTGGGATGGGTTTTCTGTTACATACATAAACATGGGTTCAGAAATTCAGCTCTACTTCTGTGCAAAGGCAAATATAACAACAGACTATGTCTGTCTGATACCTTCCCACTCACTATTGTAGGTGTCAATATAACAGAGCCACACAGCACCGGTTTAAGGTAATTTCAGAATGACTAAGGACTTCAGGCCACAGCTATCTGCTGTCTCCAAAAGGAAGAGAGAAAATCAGCGAGGAGGATTCAGAGAAACAAGTTCAGGGTGCGGTGGGGAGGGAGTAGAAATATACAGCCCATGTGGGCTAAAATGGGCTGCTTTTTTGATAGATGTGATTTAAATCTCACTGATTCTTGTGCACATAAAGAACCAACAAGCAGCAACAGCTCCCCTTGTTACTTTCATGAGACTGCATGTCATATCCCCTCCCATAGGTACAGATTTTTGATTTTGCTGGGTGATGCTCCTCTGTGCCTCCTCCCTCTCTGGCAGGCCTCGGGAAGAGAGGGGAAGGAAAAGACTAAGTAGGGATGAGGGGTAGGGTGCAAGAGGCTGAGTGGGAAGGGACCTTGAGAAAGAGCATAGAGGAAATCAGGGTCCAGGCACTGGGACCCACAAAAGATGAATCCAGCCCTACAGGTGCTAAGCACCTCCTATTTTTTCAGTGGGTGCAAGAGCCCTGGAGCACCCACAGTCAGCGCCTATGCCACCACCCCACATCTGCCCATTCCTAATGATCTCAAGACTGGACATTATGCTGTGTGCAACATGTGCAGCAATCCTTATGCTGTTCATTCTTCCATGTTGCAGCTCCAGCAATAGCTATACTTTGATGGATTTCCCTGTATCAGCACTGCTAGTGATCCTACATTCCTGTCATAGGCACCAAGGAGCTTGAACATGTTAAACTCATCCATGGGCCGGATTCTCTGGTGAGCTTCACAGTACGGCAAAGGGGCTGAAAATTCAATGGTACCAGGTAGCCCTTACCTAGGGCAGCTCAGGAATGCTGTGCTCCTATGCCACACTCCCCAGCCTGATACAAGTGCATGCGCACGCTGGCTTTCATGTGTTAGCTATAGTCTCTTGGCACTACTGCCAGCTGGCAGAGTTTAGAGCAGCCTCAAGGATGCTCTACCTTGTGCCAGGGTGGAGAATGATCTGAGCTGCACAGGAAGCTAGAACAGGCTCCCTGACGCCCCTTTCAGTTGTCCCCTATGCCAGCTAGGCAGAGAAGAGAATAGTTCTTTAAAATGTTCACAGGATATTTCCCAAGAGATGGTAGGCATTGAAAAAATTAGAGTGTTATCAAGGGATCAAAAGCAATTACCAAAAAAAATTATAGTGACATGAGAGTCTGCTAGATGTCCAGTGGAATTTCCATTTTAAACCCCACTTTGTAATGCCTTGTAGGGCAATTTAAGGGTAAATTCATTTGGCAATCAAACCAGAAGTCTCAGAATAGGAGCAGCTACTTTCTCTTCTTCCTTTAAATAATGATCCTTTCAACTTTAATACCAGGATCTGCAGGACAAAGCAGCTGAGTCTGGTTCTGATTCTTTCAGTCCCCCAGGGATGAAATGTCTGTCAAAATCAATAGGTATCTGGCAGGATCCAGCCCCATTTGCCGCAATTTCTTTGTAGCCAAACTCCACAAAGAATGAAATTAATGAAGAGCAGAAACAACAGCACCAAAAGGCTAACGAGAAAGACTCGTTGAGAATCGACAGGGCCTCCTGAGTCAATAGTCCTTGCATAAAACATGCCCCTAAGCAGGTTTTGATACAGTACATAATGGACATTTCGGAGTCATTACATTTCAGAGTCATAATCCATAGAATTTAAGGAGTCCTCAAGAAGGAATTTGGATGGTAGAACCCAATGGCTGTAGATTATCAGTGGGCTTCTCAATCAGACCCAAGACAGCTGCAGTGGGCCAGTGTAAATAAGAAAACAGCTTTAAAGGAAAACCTAAAGAGAACTGAAACCAAAACTCTCTGGTAAAGTGACAACGTTCAAGATCTGGGCCAAGAGGGCAAACACTCTGGCATTCAGAATGAAGACAAAGATTAACAATTCTCTTGCCACAAGATTTCACATGGCAATATCCTAACAGCCCTGAGTAAAATGTTTATCACAAACTCAAGACTTGGGCAGAGCTCCCTGACCGTTGTGTACAATGGGTTGTTTGTGGCTTCACAGGAAGTCTATTGTTTCTCTGGAAGCTGGGGTAAACTTGATGGTTTGGACTGAGTTTTACTTTTTGGGGGCAATTCCTCTGAACTTTAAAACCAAAGAAACCCCCTCACACAATCTTGGTCTTGATTCTAATCCTGCTTTCGGCAGTTTCACAAAGGTACTGACCTCAGTGGAGTTAGTCCGGAGTTATACCAGGCCCAATGAGGCAGGGGGTGGTGGGAGCACATGAGAAAAGGAAAAATCCTGGCCCAAACTCCTGGTGTTTTATTCAACTCTTTATCCTCACCACACGGCTGCCCTGGGCCAGGTTCTCTGGAACTGTCCAGTTATTTTGCATTAGTTGCACTGACTGGAGAAACACAGAACAGCTGGTGCATATGAGTGTGTCTGGACCTTGCTAGACATAGGTACAAAAGGATAGGTTGGGCCAGATCCTCAACTAGTGTAAATTCACACCCCTCACAGCTGAAATTGGGCTGAAATTCCGATCTCATGTACCCCAGCATAAATCCAGGTGATTCTGCTGACCTCAACAAAGGGGTGGGCAATAAGTAGTGTCTGGGCTGAACATGGTTCACTAGACCCGGTGGGTTGCTGGATGCTTTATTTACCTGCACTTAGCCTCCTGCAGCTCCCGCTGGCTGTAGTTCACTGTTCTCAGACTACGGGAGCTGTGGAAAGAGATAGCCTGGCCCATGCCACTTTCCGCAGTTCCCAGTGGCCGGGAACAGTAAGACGTGGCCAATGGGAGTTGAGAGAGGCCTTAGGCGCAGACACGTAGGTAACAAAAGCATCCGACTAACCCTGGCAAATTGCCTCCGGCCCGCAGGCCGCTTTTTGCTCACCCCTGCCTCAACAGATTAGGCAGGTGAAATTGAAATCAGACTTGGCTCCAAAACCTCATCCTCAAATCTGAATTTCCTTGTCTTCCGGGGGATCAAACTCAGCCCTCAAATATTAAATGGCTACAACTTAATGGGCTTTAATATAAAATACTTCATGCAGGCGCGACGGCAAGAATGAAGGAAGTTCTGTACAGATCCAACCACAAAGAACATCAGCTTACTGTACACAGCTATACTGGGCTTGGGACAAGTTCCTGGGTACTTGCTTTGATGTGCTTTGATGCACATATTGTCAATCATTGTATTTGTAACTGATACAACAGAGAGCGTGGTTTGGATTTCCCTTTTAAAAATCCCTCGACAGTGTGTGCCTTCTTGCCTCACTGTGATCTCTCTTTCTTGGCAAGACTGAAAAGAGAAAAAAAGCACATTGATCATTAGGATCAAAGTTGCAGGACGGCATGGGTCACTTTAATAATGATCACTCACATTTCAATATGAAAGAAGTGTGTTGGCATCACTGAAGGGATCGTATATGTCCAGCAATTGAGCTCAAGACACCACAATCAGCTATAAAGGCTTGAACATTGTCCCTATGGAATGTGTTTGCTGTTGGTAGGAAAACGTTTTTTTTTAATGATAAAACCTTCTGCTCTGTTACGGCCTTGCTCCCCACAATGTAACACTTTTGGGAAGGTTCTCAAGAAGAGATGGCAGCAATACTTCAATGTGCTTTACAAATATGGAAATATCCATTCCGCTTGGATTATTTTTTGAGTTTTTGTTTTTTAAACAGGAGGTGTGTCGGAGCTTCTAATTCCAAGCATTGGGGGGGGGGACCCCAAAGGAGTTGTGACGTTAAAAATAAAAGAGAGAGAGAGGAGAAGGAAATTCAAGGAGCAGCAGAGTCAGTTGGCGTATTGTGCATAGAAAGCAACTTTTACTCGCTCGATCTGGTGACACAACTTGATGGCTGGGCCAAGTTTCAGCTCCATGCATTCTTGCACAGTTGGGAGTGTGAGGAGCAG